ACACACACACACACACATCGGGCGCACGCACAAACACACACACACACACACACACACTCACACCAGGCGCGCGCGCGCAAACACACCCACGCAATGACAGAACAAGGGACATAACACGTTCAAAATCGGATGTGTGAATTGAATAAAGATATTTTTAGTTACTTCCCTTTACCCTTTATTCTTCTGTCCTGCAAATCCACTGTTTAGATTAGTACCCGTCCTTTCTGTAGACAAAATTGATTCATAGTACACACGTATATCGTTTTCAAACACCAAGTTTTCCTAATGTCTAGAAGCCTTTTGGATATGGATAAATGGTTAAAGTAATGTATACACCTCTACCATCCACCCCTATCTTCACACATCAAGACAATCATAGACTTCTTAGAAAATGGTCATACTGTGACCGCGTTGCGACTTTAAATCAGCGTTGTTGATGAAACTTCTATCTAGCTTGTCCAAGAAAAAATGACAAAATCTACCCACTGCATGACACTTTTCTAGGGCACAGAGTGGTGAAGGTAACTCAGACAGCAAACAAAAGCAGTGTGGCTATGGAATTCTCACACAAACACATCCTGTTCACCAGATTAAGAACCCTTTGATTTTTTCTTGTTCTCAAATCTGAAAAAAGTTCTCTCTTAGATCAGTTCTTTCATTGCAATGAAGATGATATATATGCAAAGCAGCAATGGTTTGAGTCCCATTCAAGGTCACATTATGCTCAAGGACTTTTGAAGGTCAAACAAAGATGGCAAAAGTGTGATCTATTGGGTGACTATGGAAAAGTAGCATTGTGGGTCTAAGAATTTCAACTTTCTTGCTTGCTTCTTCACAGTCAGGTTAAAGACTTATTGAATGCTCCTGATAGTTTACAAAATTTGATATTGCTGATGAAAGTATACACTGTTAATCTGTTTTAGTGTTTGCACCTCCAGAAGGAAAGCAGGCTTGAGAATTTTTTTTTACAGTTTAGAAAGAAAGGAATGTGGATGGATCGCCTTCAAGTTACCAGATAGTGACATTTTTACAGGTTGTCGGTTCATCTTTTCTTACAGGTAGTAGTAGCCATTCACTTTATACTTATGTAGTGTGTTATGTCCCTTGTCCAGTTTGTCTCACTGGCAGACACTCCCCGTATACTTAAGTGTCTTAAGTACCAGTTTTTCCTACAGATGGATCGTCACATTGCTTTATGCTTCCATTTGTCTTAGGGTCTGAGTTCATGATGTCTCAGAAGTCTCCTTTCCCTTTGCATACATTGAGTTTCTATTTGCATCAATGACTCAGCTTTACCATGCGTCCATTTGTCTCAATGTCTGACCCTCACCTTGCATCATGTACCTGTTTGTTCCCAGGCTGCCCTTGGTCTCCTCATCTCCCTGGTGATGAAACACGCTGACAACCTCATCAAAGGCTTCGCTTCCTCCATCGCAATCATTGTCACAACAGTTATCTCTGGTCTGGTTCTTGAGGACTTACAAGTGTCTTGGTGAGTAGCTGTTTGGTGGATTATTGGGTCTATTTTTTGGTTGGTCGCCATTATTCCATTACTCACCTGAGAAACATATTCTGGAAACAAAGGTAGCAGGCAAGAGAGGAAGGGGGAAACCTAATAGAAACTGGAAACAGAACATAGAAACCTTATGTAGATTCAAAACAACTCAGGCAGGCAGAATGGCAAGAGACAAAGTGTTTTAAATGAAAAGGTCTGAGAAGCAATGTCTAGCTACTGGACAAGTTAAGAAGAAAAAAAAAACGAAGAAGGTCTTTAGTTGCTAGTGATCTGGTCACTCTGCAGATACTTTCTTTTTTTGCTTATTGGTTGACTGACTTCAAAATCTATCAGAGATGATAGGGGGATGACTGATTAGCTGATTGTTTTACTAGTTGATTGAAAGAACAGAAGACTGTTTTATTCATTGCTTTATGTTTAGTTTTTTCTATGGTTTTCGTTGGTTTGCAATGGATTGTATATGAGGCTAGTTGATTTATCAATAGGTTGACCAACTGATGAATCGATTGATTGATTGATTGATTGATTGATTGATTGATTGATTGATTGATTGATTGATTAAATGTATGGTTTATTTATAAACCAACTGGTTTATAGATGGATGGATTTTTTAAATTTATTTGATTAATAGCTTATGTTATCAGATTAATAAATTAAGTACAGCTGACAGAAAATGCTACTGTGTAAGTCATCAGCAACAACATCAGTATAAATGTCATGAAGACTCCTTTTGCATGTTTTACAGTTTGGTACTTTCAACAGAATGTGTCAAATTTAATCATGCGTGTCAAAAATATGTAAAATGTACACATATTAATTAGACATCATCAATCCAAACCGTTAGACAGGAAGTGATATAACGTTCGTTTTAGCGCTTACATGACCAAAACTGTGTCAATAGTGTCGTAAACATCTACTCAATCGTATTATGTCATGGAGACGTCTCGTGCTGTAGGTGGTGAAAGAGTTCTGTTCTGTCTCTCAACAGCTCATTCCTGCTGGGCACTGTGGTTGTCCTAGCCTCAGTGCTTCTGTACAATGTGGACAGGACTGGGGAGTTCAGCAAGCCAGAGGAGTCAGTCATATGATGATGGTTGACAGTCGGTTTTGGGTCAGGAAACAAGTCGTTCTTTTCATGTGAACACTAACTGGTACCATGATATGATGATGAAACAGTCAGTTTTTGTCATGTGTACCCTGTCAGTTGCCATGACAATGACACATTCAGTTATTGTTGTGTGTGCATTGTCAAATCTACGGTGGTAGGCGCTGTTGTTGTCGTGCGTACACAGTCAGTTGGTTATATGATGACCGCGTGCAGCTCAGATATGTGATTTACAAAGCTTGACCATTGGCTGTAATATATCTAGTCTGACTCAGGGATCTGTCTTTCATTTTGCCCGAGGAACATTTGTCTCAATGACAGACAGAGGGAGGGAGAGAGAGAGAGAGAGGGAGAGAGAGAGAGA